AACTAATAATTTAGTTTCAAATTTAAAAGAAACTAATCAATCAAAACGAGAAAATTGCTCAAGATTAACTCCTAATGAACTAACATGTAAAAGATAAGTCTGTGCTCCCTATACACAATACAGAACTTCAACTGATAAAATATTCTGGAAAATAACGACAATTGTCAATGTGATCTTCAATTCATTATTCAGACCTCCATATCAATGATATCCCCGATCATTGCTTCTGAGGGTTCAAGGCCTTCTCGGAGGAAATCCCCAATAACCTCATCCATGCGCTTTCTCAGGACAGGGAAACGCTGTAACTCATTCATCATACATCTATGGCTAATCTGTAAGGAAAGTTAAATTTATGAAGAAAATGAAATTAATATGATCATTTATCAACAACCAAAAAAAACCTTACCTTTATTAGCTCATCAAAAATGAACCTAGCACACTGAAGGCTCGGATCTAACAAACGAGATATCTGCCTCCTAACAAGAACTTCAAATGGAACCTAAACAGGATAGAATGAGATCAAGAGATCGTAATAAGTTATTCTGGGAAGTAGAATGGTAAGGAAGCACATGTATGCTTCAAAGCCCTGACAACCAGGATGAGATCCACACATGCTTTTGAAACATGTTAAGAAACCTACGTCTGGAACAAATAATGCAGATCTTGGACCAGTTGCATTTTGGATTGCAGTCCGAATATCATCATCTGTCAAGTCTTCGCATGGATCAACCTCCTGAAGAAGAAATGCGAAGGAAGTCATTCAGTCTAAATTCACAGAGATATACCTCAAGTAGCTCCGACAACATACACAGATTAAGCAAGAAAAAAGTCACTATCTAGCAGACAGGGAACCAATCAGGTAAGTACAGTTCAGATACTCAAAATGTGCTACAACTGAACGTTGTATGTAGGCACTAAACTTTTTCACAAAATAAGGAACAAGTCTATTCCAGAAAGCGTTTACTAGCTAGCATGCCATACCCCAGATAGCTCAAATCTGAAACGAACTACATAACTTTCATGTGGATAATGTCACTAGCTAAACTTAGATATCTAGCAAAGCCAGTGCTTAACGAAGCAACAAAAGTTTATATAAAATGTCATCCATGCGTGCGTTAACTTCTCTATCACCATCAATGAAATGAACCTTGGACGTGGAAGACCATGAAGGTATCCATAAAGGGGAAGAATCGGCAAGTTAAGAAAAGGATATTATAATAACTGTTCAAAGCTCAGGGAAATTTTTTTAAAATATGTCCAAGCTCACCTCCAAACTCTTAACAAAGATTGATTGGAAAATATAGTGAATTCTTGCTCCTCCAGTGAGCTCGGACGTAGACATTTCTTCACTTTTCCCTTCCAGCAATGAAGAGTATGCTGTTTGAAAAAGTTAACCATGAGACTCACTAGGAACCAAAGAAAGCATAAAACAAATATTCATTGTTTCAACTGAAATATCATCTTCAGATATTACCTTCACAGTATTTTGACAGAAAGTTGAGTAGAAGAGCTCCTTGACCAGCCTACAGATTGCAAGGATAGTAAGAAGACCCACAGAATAGGATAATTTTGACTATTTAAAGATTAAAACAAAAATTTATGGAGATGAAGCAAGTCATAAAGAAATGAAAAAGTAGCATATAAGAAATTTGATTCAAAATGTAAATACGTAGAATAAGTTAACTACACATTGGCTCTTTCTCTGAAAATAAGAACACATTAAAGTGCTAATTCTACCACTTAAAGATTTGTTTTTGTAGCATAAAAACAAAAAGGCTCCATGATGTCAATGAACCCGGAGCACATACATGAGCTAATAGTCTGGTTGAGCAAAAATGTATTTCAAACAGAAAAACAGAGCAAAAGACACCATAAAGTGGAACAAATGGTAAGCTTCCCAGCCAATAACAGTGTCATTGTAAACGATGAATTCAATAAATGGACTGCAAACTGGGTAATAAACACATACCCTGGATTCTGTAATTTCACCATAGCTCTGATGTTCCTTAGCTGTAGCAACCAAAGCATTACTTATACGCGACTTCAAATCAGGAAGCAGAGCCTTGATATGTTGAACAAGGATCTAGAAAAAATGCAACAGAAAGGCTAGCTTCTATTAGACATGTTCTAGTATAATATGTTCCAATGCCAGATAGAAACTGATTAGAAGGATAAAAAACAAGTCAACAACAACAACAAAATTCAGTAGATGAATCAACTTTGACAATACATAATGATCCTGATTGTTAGAGATAAACATGTGAGGGGAAAAAAAATTGTCATCTCATAACAGATATTTAACATCCAGAAAGCTATCACTTATGCCTTAATGAACAATGAGTTAATAAAATACCTGATTTAACTTCTTGGCTAGCTGAGGGATACCCAAACGATCGGAAAGACCATGATAAGCCTGTGTAGTACCAAAGAACAAAAAAAACTATAATCAGGACAAATTGCAAGAATATCAGAAAAGGATTCGACAAAATCATGCAAATCATACTGGACGACTCCTGAAGAATTTCTCTTCAGCGCTAAGTGCTTCTTTGACTGAACGGTTTAGCAAAATATCCTGTTTATAAGAAAATAAAGACCAAAGTAAATTTTACATCGTGTGAATGCAGATCCACTAAACAAAAGCAAAAAGAATAATCGCCAACATTAAAATGGTTTTGTTGAGTCTAAGAAA